CTGCTGTCCAGCCTCTCCAAACCCTGCTGTCCAGCCTCTCCAAACCCCGCTATCCAGCCTCTCCAAACCCTGCTATCCAGCCTCTCCAAACCCTGCTATCCAGCCTCTCCAAACCCTGCTATCCAGCGCCCCCAAACCCTGCTATCCAGCCTCTCCAAACCCTGCTGTCCAGCCTCTCCAAACCCTGCTATCCAGCCTCTCCAAACCCTGCTGTCCAGCCTCTCCAAACCCTGCTATCCAGCCTCTCCAAACCCTGCTGTCCAGCGCCCCTAAACCCTGCTATCCAGCCTCTCCAAACCCTGCTATCCAGCCTCTCCAAACCCTGCTGTCCAGCGCCCCCAAACCCTGCTATCCAGCCTCTCCAAACCCTGCTATCCAGCCTCTCCAAACCCTGCTATCCAGCGCCTCCAAACCCTGCTATCCAGCCTCTCCAAACCCTGCTATCCAGCCTCTCCAAACCCTGCTGTCCAGCCTCTCCAAACCCTGCTATCCAGCGCGTCCAGACCCTGCTGTCCAGCCTCTCCAAACCCCGCTATCCAGCGCCCCCCAACCTTTCTATCCAGCGCCTCCAGTCCCTGCTATCCAGCGGCGCCTCCAGGACGCGCCCGAATGTGCCTCGGCCTCTGCTGACCTCCAGTGGCCACCTGGAGGAATTGCCGCTCGCTCCCAGAGCATTCCCAGCCTCTGGCACACGACTCCTGCGGGGTCCCGCTCCTGCTCTCATGTCCGTACAGCTTCCAACGGCGACACAGGAAGAAAAAATAACTAAAAAAAAAAAAAAAAAAAAAAAAAATCAGACCTTGGTGTTCCCTACACGAGGAAACCCCCTAAAGTGTGAGTGTGTTGATCTGTTGACCTGCTCTAGTGTAGGAAGGCTCTACAGAGAGATGTGGACAGACTTGATAAATGGGCTAAGGACAAATGTGTGAGGTTCAACAAGGGGAGTGCCGGGTCCCGCACCTGGGTTGCAGCAACGCCATGCAGTGTTATAGGCTTGGGAGGAGTGGCTAGAGAGCTCTTTGGCAAAAAGATGAGCCAGCAGTGTGCCCAGGTGGCCAAGAAGGCCAATGGCATCTTGACCTTTATCAGCAACAGTGTGGTGTGGTCAGTAGGATTAGGGAAGTGATCGTTCCCCTGAACTCAGCACTGGTGAGTACTGCTTTCAGTTCTGGACTACTCACTTTAAAAAGGACATTGAAGTGCTGCAGTGAATCCAGAAAAGGAAAATAAGGCTCGTGAAGGGTCTAGAAAATGTGTCTTATTAAGAATGGCTGAGAGAGCTGGGTTTGTTTAGTCTCGAGAAGAGGAGGCTCAGCAGAGACCTCGTCACTCTCTACAACTTCCTAAAAGGAGGTTACAACCTCCAGCTGAGCCTTTTCTATTGTGCCTGCAGTGAGAGGACTAGAGGAAATGGCCTTAACCTGAGACAGGGGAGATTCACATTAGATATTAGAAAAAAAATTCACAGTTAAAGTGGCCAGCCATTGGAATAGGTTTCCCAGAGAGGTGGTGGTGGTACCATCTGTGGAGGTGTCTAAGAGGTGTCTGGATCTGGTGCTGGGTGATGTGGTCTCATGGTTAAGGGGTTACAGTGGCAGTGCTGGATTGATGGTTGGACTGGATGATCTTGAAAGTCTCTTCCA